ACTTAGAGCCAGGCTCTGATCCCATGGACAGTCCGCGGGGCACAGACACTGCCCTAAACATGCCTCTCGACAGACCCATTAAGTGCGGCAGAAAGGCAGGTTAGGGCTCCGCTGCTGCGGCAGAGCTCAGAATGGTTATGATCTGGATTACAGATTGGGCTGGGAACTGTCCCAGCACAATACCAGAGCCGGGCCCGGTCCTGAAGCACTTGCCGTGTCGATGAAGAGTGTCCCAAAGCAGCGATTATCCCCCTTCCTTTTCCCCAGAGAGTAAGTGACATGGCCAAGGTCACCCCGAACATCGGTGGCAGAGACGCAGCAACAAACAGGGTGTTTTTCAAAATCTCTTCTGATGGGGAGCAACATTTCTTCACCAAGCAAACGAGGCCCTGAGGTGACGCGGGTATGTCTCTCTAGCCTCCATCTCCGGAGTGTCACAGGATATGGTGGGATTAGCCGCTCAGGAGAGATTCAAGTGGCACCCAGCTGATTAGCAGAGCACCCACAGCTAGGTTTGTTTTGACTGGTGGTGCACATTCACAGGTGCCTCGGTGCACGTAACAAAATGTATTCCACATATGGATGGCAAAACTGCACACAAATGGCTAAGATTAGAGGGAACACTGCTGGGGAGGTGCAGAGGGGCCACGGGCGCATAGGGCCCAGTAAGAGCTCTTAGTGTCATGTCATTCCTGTCTCCTCTGCACGTACATGAACCATGTGCACCTGTGTGTGGGGAGGAAGGGGTGTATTTGTGTGAGTGTGTGTACATATTTGTGCAGGCAAGCACTGCCAGGAGAGGTCAGTCCACACCCACAAACACAATGGTAAACACATTAATTTGTGCAAACAAGGAACACAACTGCTCCTCCCTAAAAAACCCAAGTCCCGGCTGCCAACGTGGGGCTGGATTCCAGTCCTGGCCACAGCGGAATAGCCAAAATCGTTGGCACCAGTGGCATTTCCCCGGGGTTATTTTGGTCCATTCTATTCCACGGGAGGCGTATTTTCAAAGCTCGACAGCTAAGAAACAGGGTAGACAAAGACAGGCATTGTGGGAAGCGCCTCACCGCTTTTTAGCAGCCAGAAAGTCACTTTGGCCTGTAAGACTGAACCACAAACGAAGCCAGCTTCGTTAAAATGCCCAGCTGCGTGCAGCGGGGTTTAGCAGAAAGCAAGCAGGATAATGAACGCTCAACCACAGCAGCTTTCTCGCAGCTAAACGAGTCCCGTTCAAACACCTTAGCTGGCTGCCAGGCAAAATACAGGTGAGATTTCAGCAGCCTTTAAATTAGGCCTGTGATATGTCTGACTAAATGCAGGCTTGGTTGTTTCAGGATGAATTCTATGCAACGTTCCAGAAAGTTCAGAGGGAGACTCTCTCTCTAGGAGTGTGTCTGCACAGCACCCTGACCTTGAAATTAGCTACGCAATTTGCACTATGCAAATTGCGTAGCTTATTTTGAGGTGATTTCAAAATAGTTGATTTCAAAATTTGGCGCTGTCTGCAAGGTGCCAAATTTTGAAATACAGTGCTGTTTCAACAAATCCCTTAGCCCTCGTGGAATGGGGGTAACAGGGATGCCGGAATAGCGCACCCGTTATTTCGAAATAGGTTTTGAAATAACAGGCGCGTTTAAAGACGCAGAATAATTACTTGGAGATACCCAGGAGTGGCCTGAGACCAGCTGCGGCAGCTGGCACCCCAAGCGGAACGCGCGATCGGTGCCCTCGCCTGCACGGCCGTCAATGACGTAATGTCATCAGGCACCATTGAAGGCGGCACCCTAGGCGATGGCCAAGTCGGCCTATAGTCACGGGCCATCCCTGGGGATACTGGAAGAATCCCGAAACAGCGCCGCTATCTAGACGCACCCAAACAGAGTTTTATACAACTGTAGCAGCCGATTGCTTTCCAAGCACCAGCCATAGCAACAGCAAAATCCAGAGTGGACATTACGGCATTTCTCCCTTTGCAGGGGAAAAATCTCTGTTCGGGGTTAGGGTTTCTGTTTGTTTCGATGTTCTCAATTTCCTTTTGGCTTTGGCTGGCAGCGTCCAAGGGACATCGGATGAGCTGAGAGAAGGAACATTCATTGCCTCCTACTCCAAGAGCACCGGCCCCGGGGGAGGTTGAACCAAGCCCGGCTTTTAGGGGTGAAATCGGCCCCTGAGTCAGCCACGGTCCTGGAAAGCGGATGGGTGGTTCAAAGTGCTCAGAGGAACAAAACCTTCCGGCTAAGGGGGCACGGCGCCATCTGCAGGCACAGGCCGAGTGCAGCTCTTGGGTTGATGCTGCCACTGGTCCAGGGCACAGCCCACTTCCTCCCCAGCCTCCAGTGGGATGGAGGTGATGGAAGTGGGGGCTTGTGAGGGGGAGGCAGGAAAGTCACCGCCAGGTGCTGTCCCCTCGCCCCCCAAGGACCTCTGCTTCCGGCAGTGCGCATGCTGGCTGGGGGTGGGGGCATGAAGCAGGCTGAGAAGCCAGCGAGGCTAACGTGGCCTTTCCTCACTCCGTGAAGACGCTGGTCCTGGGACAGGGGAGGCTCCCTAGGGGAGGAACCATTGAACTGAAGCACCAAAGTCATCCCAGGAACTAGACTGTGTGGGCGGAAGCCGGGCCACCCTTCAGTTCTCCAGGGACTAGACTCGAGACTCCCTGGCCAGCGTCACGCCGGTGCAATAACATGGCCTAGGCCGGCCGTTTTCAAACTTTTTTTCTCATGACCCAGTTGAAGAAAATCGATGCCGCGCCCCACATCATGTGACCGGAGTGGGGGCTGCGGGGTGGGGCTGAGGGTGAAGCTTTGGGATGTCGGAGGAGGCTCCGGCTGGTGGGGGGGCTGGGACAGGAGGGGCTGACCTCAAGTGGGTCCCAGTCAGCAGTGAGGTGGGGGGGCTAAGGCAGCTTCCTGCCTCTCCTGGCACTGCAGACCAGCCGGCAGCAAGTTCTAGCCGATGGATGTACGGAGCTAGTGCTGGGGGCATGGCCGGTGCGCGGAGCCCTGTGCACCCCCCCCAGCCCCCAAGGAGCCGGCCTGCTGTGGCCACTTCTGGGGCACAGCGCAGTCGGCAGTGCCAGGACAAGCAGGGAGCTGCCTTAGCCCCCACACTGCTCACCTGTTCCCCCTGCAGCCCCAAGCACCAGTGCCCAACCTCCCACCCCCCAGTGCTGGGTTGCAACCCCTAGTTTCAAAACCACTGGGTGAGGAGGAAGGTTCTCAACTGTATCCGTCTCCAAAGAGCAGTCCCATACCGGGCGTGTCCCCAAAGTCACACCCCTCCAGCCATTTTTATAGCCAACGCCGGTACATACACGTCACCTGAAACCAGAGTTTATGCATCAGCGTTGCACCTGCTTTGTTCTCAGTACCATGGTGCACCCCTCTCTCTTTTGTTTTTCAGATCACATGCTTTCCAGGTGGCAAGGGGTGTGCAGGCATCCCTGCAGACCAAATCCAAGGTAAACAGGCTTGGCTGGGTAACTCCCTCTCTGTAGCTATGAGGAAATGGTCGTATGTCCCAATACTGAGAGTTTTCTCATCTACTTGGGCCAAAGTTAATTTCCTCTAGTGCGAAGTGTCATGGGCCATGTAGCATAAGTGAGAAGGATCGGACGAAAGTTACGGGCCAACCTGGATTACACAACAGCTGCATTAATGCTTAATAACAGGCTTATTAAATGATTGGAAGATATATTGTCGGTAGGTTAAAATATCAGCATGCTAGGCAGCCTGCATTAGTCACCAGGAACAACCGGTTTCACGGGCAACCCAGAGAGTTGCTTCACTGTTAACCACAACATAACACATGTGGCTTTGTAACTAACCCAACCTTGCCTCATGGCCTTTCAAGCAACAGCAACTAATGTTGGTTTTTCCAGGTACTTGCTGAAGAGACACAACATTACTGACAGCACAATTCACTTCTTGCACAGAAGGGGTGACAAACACGAGAGGTAACCAAATGCACGGCAGAGAAAGGGACACGCTTTATTTCTGGCAAAGTTACAGCCGCCGTTTGGGGGCACGTTTAGTCTGGAGAAGAGAGAGCCGCGGGAGGACGTGATAATGCCAAAGGCAAGAGGACAGTGATCAATTATTCTCCATGCTCACGCGAGGGAGGACAATTCATGGGCTTCGTTTGTGGCAATTGTGATGTACTAAGGAAAACCTCTTGCATGCCTCTCCAGACGGACATTTCCATGGTTTTCTTCTGCATTCGCTCATCTCCTTTGGCTCATCTTTCCTCAAACAGTTGGGTTGTTACATCCCCGTTTTCACGGTCAAATACCTCACTGAGCATGAAGGTAACAGGCAGATCCAGAAGAATCAGTCGCAGCTAATAATGTCCGTTATCAATGTAGCACCTTTCTGGATTCATAGATCTAACGCAGTTGTTGTTGGGATGGGCCAAATTGTCCAGACAAATAATTTCCGCCTCTGTACCCAAATGGTTCGCGGGAGCTATTTGTGCCTCGTGGTGTGTGGTTGGTCACCAAAGTTGTTAGAGAAGAAACAGGTGACCCAGGAGCGGATGAGGAGAACAGAACTACTTGATTGCTCACATACGTTTACCTTGGACACTCAACACAACGTTAACGGAACTGCTTGATTGCTCACATACGTTTACCTTGGACACTCAACACAACGTCTGAATGGCCACAAATTGGCACCAATTATACCCTTTTATCTACTTTTCCTAAAACCTTATTTAGTAATGTTAACTACCATACAATGAATATTAATAAGCAAATAATGAATACCGTTATACCCACCCCTAATTACTATTTACAGTGTCTAATTAAATCAACACTTTTCTACACTACAAACCTTCTAAATCAGCAAGTTACAGAGATTACAAGAAATTTCACCCTGAAAATATTTTATACAGAGCCAATGAGGATAAACCAATGACACAACAAAGTAAAACAGCTACATACTTCTCTG